CGATTCGCGCGCGGCCGCGGCGTGCTAGGGTTTCGTTTTAGGAGGCGCCGTCCTCGAATCCGCCGAGCCTTGCCGGCGGCCTTCGGTTCGGCTCGGTTCGGTTCTGCTCTGCTCTGTCGCCTCCAGAGGTAACAGCGATTGGTGTGCCGTGCACGTTTGTGAATATCATGAAGTACGCGTTTTCCCCCGAGTCTTCCTCTCGTACAGTGCATCTTGGCGATTTCTGCGGCTGCGACTGGGTAAAAACGACTGGCCTGCCTGTGTGACGGAAATGCTCTGCTCGCTGCTTCGTCTTGGATTCAGAGGCCGATTCATAAACCGGGTGGACCAATTTACTCCTCTGGATTAGCCGTACTAGATAGATATTGATCCCTGACCAAGAGAACCGATTGCAGATGATTTTGTGGAGCCAAGTCTGAAGCTGCTGTCCCCTTGTTCTAGGACAGAAGCTATTGCTCTGCTTTTTTTTTTTGCTGAAATTGCAGTGAACTTGGATTTTGTTTTTCTTCTGTTAACTTGTCATTTACATAGTCAGATGGTCTTTCTAGAGTACTTTTACCCACTCTTGAGCGTCTAATTTTCGTTAAGAAAGCGCAAACATAGCGCAAACGTGAATAACGAATATTGGCAAAAACAAAAACAAAACTACCATCCTCACTCAATGACCAAATTATCATATCCTTCACTTAATTCCTGATACAGGTGGGACTGAATCTATTATCCTAGCAGTTTATTAATAAATTTGTCAGCAGACTAGGCAGTTCATTGGTGCTACCTTCCTAGCCACCTTAATTATATGCATCCCTGTTCCTTCCAAAATAGTGAAGCAGCCTGCAGTAGTGTAGCTGTACCAAAATCACATCTGCCCTAATGTATGCAGTCATGTTTTTATACCATTACTTGTCCACTGGGACTTCTCTCCTGTGATCTGTTTCGGTTCTGCCAAAACCCATTCAGTAGTGTGGGACTGTGGATCATTAGCAAGGAAACAGTGCTTTAGTTCAGACTTCAGAGATATTTGCCTTCGTTTCAATAGGCGAGTAGTTTGCTCCCAATCAACATAGAAGAGCATAATTTGTTGTCCTGTATTGGAATACATCACACTAATACTGTATATGAATTAAGGTCTTTACGATATGTTCTATTCCATGCTGCAAAGGGCGATTTTCATCTAAGTTGAACTGATTTTGATTTCTGTATGTTAGGGGGTGGGGGCAAATATTGCTATATGTTCATTCTTCAGGGTACTGACTTGCTAAACTATTGTTGATATTTTGTTGGGTGACCTATTAGATCTGGAATGGAAGCTCACATATGTTGGATCAGCTGAAGATGAAACTTATGATCAGCAACTTGAGAGCGTGCTTGTTGGACCTGTCAATGTTGGGACCTACCGTTTTGTCTTCCAGGTAAAAACAGATGTGCTTTATTGATCAGTCAAGTCCAATATCTTCATAATGGACAGTAAACCTAGAATTCCTTGCACAGATTCAAATCTTGATTCGTCACACTATTTTGCCTTTTGTTACTTATAAAAAGAACTTCATAGTTTAAAAGACTAAATATGCATCTAGAAATTAATTTTCCATTTCCATTCCAGGCTGACCCACCGGACCCTTTAAAGATCCGCGAACAAGACATCATTGGTGTCACCGTGCTGCTATTGACATGCTCCTACGTGGGTCAGGAGTTCATGAGGGTGGGTTATTATGTGAACAACGATTACGATGAGGAGCAGCTGAGAGAAGAGCCCCCAGCAAAGCTATTGCTTGACAGGGTGCAGAGAAACATTTTGGCCGACAAGCCCCGTGTCACCAAGTTCCCCATCAACTTCCACCCTGAACCCGGCACGAGCGCAGAACAGCCGCAGCAGGATGCAGAACAGCAGCAGCAGCCGACTTCACCGGAACCACAGAAGGCTCCAGTAGAGCCACAGATGGCGCCACTAGAGAACGTCCACATTGCTGCCGAGCAATGATCAGAGTTGGGGTGCTTACAGTCTGTTCTCCATGCCTTCTATGGTGTCTTAATGTTACGAATCGAGAGTGGTGGTTCTGCATTGTACTGGTCTGTTGTTGACGTTTCTCAATATGTTGTGTTGTAAATGTTGGGTGTCTAGCTATTTCTTGATAAAGAGTACTTCTGCCTATTTTGTTGCACATATTTGATTTCTATTGAGACTGGAATGCTTCAGCCTGAACCGTCGAATTGGTTACCGACGTGCTTTCTCTCTTTGGTGCAGATTCTGCAATGCGCTGCACCAGGTTTTCCACTGCATTGATGGTTCACAATCTGGCAAATGCTGGGTTCCGCTTTATTTCAGATAAACAGTACTTTAACCTGTTTTTCTACTGAGACAATATTTTGGTCTGCACTGTGAATTGCTTACTGGTGTGTTTAATTTTCTTTGTGTAGATTCTAACTGGGTCAAGAATCTATTATGATTGTGGTCAAATAGTTAGTGTAACTACAGAATGCTTTTGAAACTTAGCTAGTAATTGGTGAATAACTGAATATTGCTCAGAAAGTAGGCTGAACCTTTTGTCCAATTTGTGGAGGATATATTTTGTGATACTATTTCTCATATTTTTTTGTAAGTGCCCTTGTTATTTGGTGATGGATTGGCCGGTAATAATTTTTAAAACTTTTTAATGACGTCAACTTTGGCAGACCCTAGACTGAAGCTAGGACAGCGGAGTCTGGTGTCCCTTGCGTGCACAGCTGAAGCTTCAACTGGCCTAGAGTGTCCTAGACCATCTAAGCTACATTCAAAATGAAATAAACATGCTGATACCAAAAAAAAAAAAATCATGATCAAATCGAAACTGCTCACGGCTACTTCCAGAGTAGTACATCAATGGTCAAGGCTTTATATTCCCTGATTGCCAAACCTCATCGACCATTGAACGTGGAATGAGGGGATGAAACATCATCGCCATTCGAAACTCTAGAACAAAACATCACTGCACTAGCATCTCCAGTTCAAACAGCCCCCCAATAATTTCTTAATACCGTATTAACGCTACTTCTAATATATTCAGGAACAGATAACTCAATATAGCAAATAGTCCCACTTACAGAGGTGAGCATCTCCAATTCAAAGGCCAATCAACCTCTTATCGTTCGCAGTCACCAAATAAATAGACACACCAGCAAGTAGGGAGGTTTAAAAGGGCCAAAGTTATTTATTGCTACCGAGATCCCTCCATCTAGGTCTATCAGCACCCCTCAATTTTATAGCCTAAAATTGACCAGAAATTTGACTCAAAATGTGAGTCATATGATACAGAACTATCACTAGATTCTTATTCGAAACAAGTTTCAAATGATATACTTTTTGTGGTATATAACTCATAATTTATTAGCCAAATTTTGGGCTAAAATTAGGCTAAAAGTTCTAAGGATATTTGTTAGATAATAACGAGAAATAAACGAGACAAAGAGACACGGATTTTTACGTGGAAACCCTTGCGGGAGAAAACCACGGACGCACGAAGGCGCAATCACTATGAGGAGGAGTATTACAAGCACGAGACGACAGACCGTCTGAGGTGCGACTACATGGGGTATATATGAGGGGCAACACATAGGAGTCCTTGTAGGACAAGTAAACGAGTTGTACTCGTACGCGTCGGTACCAACGCAAAAGGCCCACACCGTATGGACTACGTCTAGTCCAATACGGTACTAGAATTTGGATCACAATCCAAATCAGCTTAAACACCTTGTGCGTCAAAGTACATAGGACTAGTGAGAAATACCAACTAAGCCTGAGCAAAGCTCAAACTTATTGGTCGGAACATGGCTTTGTCATCATATCAGCAGGATTATCATGAGTACTTATCTTGCATACCTTCAAATCACCTTCAGCAACAACATCTCGAATATAGTGATATCTGACATCAATGTGCTTTGTTCTCTCATGATACATTGGATTCTTTGTAAGATATATAGCACTTTGACTATCACTAAATACGGTAGGGCAAGATGATTCTCCACAAAGCTCAGTGTACAAACCTCTCAACCAGATAGCTTCTTTGCATGCCTCAGAAATAGCCATATACTCGGCATCGGTAGTGGAACAAGCCACAATAGACTACAAAGTTGCTCTCCAACTCACAGCACAACCACCAATGGTGAAAACATAACCTGTGAGTGATCTTCTCTTATCCAAATTGTTGGGGAACGTAGCAGAAATTCAAAACTTTCTACGCATCACCAAGATCAATCTATGGAGTAATCTAGCAACGAGGGGAAGGAGAGTGCATCTACATACCCTTGTAGATTGCTAAGCGGAAGCGTTCAAGTGAACGGGGTTGATGGAGTCGTACTCGTCGTGATCCAAATCACCGATGATCCTAGTGCCGAACGGACGGCACCTCCGTGTTCAACACACGTACAGCCCGGTGACGTCTCCTACGCCTTGATCCAGCAAGGGGAGAAGGAGAGGTTGGGAAGACTCCATCTAGCAGCAGCACGACGGCGTGGTGGTGGTGGAGGAGCGTGGTACTCCAGCAGGGCTTCGCCAAGCACCGCGGGTAGGGTTGTGCCAAGAAGGAGATGTTCTCGTGTGTATGGCAGCCCAAAACCTCAAGTATATATAGGGGGAGGGGAGGGGCTGCGCCCCCACCTAGGTTTCCACCCCTAGGGGTGGCGGCCAGCCCTAGATCCCATCTAGGGGGGCGGCCAAGGGGGGGGGGAGAGGGGGGCGCACCACTAGGTGGGCCTTAGGCCCATCTGAGCCTAGGGTTTCCCCCTTTTCCCTTCTCTCTTCACCTTGGGCCCTGGTGGGGGGGCACACCAGCCCACCTGGGGCTGGTCCCCTCTCACACTTGGCCCACGCAACCCTCTGGGGCAGGTAGCCCCACCTGGTGGACCTCCGGGACCCTCTCGGTGGTCCCGGTACGTTACCGATAGCACCCGAAACTTTTCCGGTGACCAAAACAGGACTTCCCATATATAAATCTTTACCTCCGTACCATTCCGGAACTCCTCGTGATGTCCGGGATCTCATCCGGGACTCCGAACAACATTCGGTAACCGTGTACATACTTTCCCTATAACCCTAGAGTCATCGAACCTTAAGTGTGTAGACCCTACGGGTTTGGGAGTCATGCAGACATGACCGAGACAACTCTCCGGTCAATAACCAACAGCAGGATCTGGATACCCATGTTGGCTCCCACATGCTCCACGATGATCTCATCGGATGAACCACGATGTCAAGGACTTAATCAATCCCGTATACAATTCCCTTTGTCCATCGGTACGATACTTGCCCGAGATTCGATCGTCGGTATCCCGATACCTTGTTCAATCTCGTTACCGGCAAGTCTCTTTACTCGTTCCGTAACACATCATCCCGTGATCAACTCCTTGGTCACATTGTGCACATTATGATGATGTCCTACCGAGTGGGCCCAGAGATACCTCTCCGTTTACACGGAGTGACAAATCCCAGTCTCAATTCGTGCCAACCCAACAGACACTTTCGGAGATACCTGTAGTGTACCTTTATAGCCACCCAGTTACGTTGTGACGTTTGGCACACCCAAATCTCATGGTCTAAGGAAATGATACTTGACATTAGAAAAGCTTTAGCATACGAACTACACGATCTTTGTGCTAGGCTTAGGATTGGGTCTTGTTCATCACATCATTCTCCTAATGATGTGATCCCGTTATCAACGACATCCAATGTCCATGGTCAGGAAACCGTAACCATCTATTGATCAACGAGCTAGTCAACTAGAGGCTTACTAGGGACATGGTGTTGTCTATGTATCCACACATGTATCTGAGTTTCCTATCAATACAATTATAGCATGGATAATAAACCGATTATCATGAACAATGAAATATAATAATAATAACTAATTTATTATTGCCTCTAGGGCATATTTCCAGCAGTCTCCCACTTGCACTAGAGTCAATAATCTAGTTCACATTGCCATGTGATTAACACTCACAGGTCACATCGCCATGTGACCTACATCCAAGAGTCTACTACACTCAGTGATCTAGTTCACATCACTATGTGATAATCACTCAAAGAGTTCTGGGTTTGATCATGTTATGCTTGTGAGAGAGGTTGTAGTCAACGGGTCTTGCCATATTCAGATCCCTATGTATTTCGCAAAACTTTATATCGTAGATGCTGCTACCACGTTCCACTTGGAGCTATTCCAAATTGTTTCTCCATTATACATATCCAGTATCTCTACTCAGAGCTATCCGGATAGGTGTCAAGCTTGCATCGATGTAACTCTTTACGTCGAACTCTTTATCACCTCCATAACCGAGAAACATTTCCTTATTCCTCTAAGGATAATTTTTAACCGCTACCTGGTGATCTACTCCTAGATCACCTTTGTACCCTCTTGCCAGACATGTGGCAAGGCACACATCAGGTGCGGTACTTCAGCATGGCATACCGTATAGAGCCTATGACAAAAGCATAGGGGACGACCTTCATCCTTCCTCTTTCTTCTGCCGTGGTCAAGCTTTGAGTCTTACTCAACTTCACACCTTACAACTCAGGTAAGAACCCCTTCTTTGACTGATCTATTTTAAAATCCTTCGAAAACATGTCAAGGTGTGCATTCTTTGAAAGTATCATCAGGCGTCTTGATCTATTTCTATAGATCTTGATGCCCAATATGTAAGCAGCTTTATCCAGGTCTTCCTTTGAAAATCACTCTTCAAACAACCGTTTATGCTTTCCAGAAATTCTACATTATTTCAGATCAACAATATGTCATCCACATATACTTATCAGAAATATTGTAGTGCTCCCACTCACTTTCTTGTAAATACAAGTTTCTAACAAACATTGTATAAACCTAAAAGCTTTGATTACTCCACCAAAGCATATATTCCGACTCCGAGATGCTTGCTCTAGTCCATAGAAGGATTGCTGGAGCCAGCATACCTTTTAGCATCCTTAGGATTGTCAAAACCTTTTATTGTATCACATAC